ATAAGCAAGGCCTTGGTTCCCTCCCTAGCATGGCAAAAAAAAAGTAAACGTCAAAATCCTTTATTCTTCTCCTACCCAAAGGCCATAACTGCTCTGATTTATTGACATACAAACGAGAGCTCTCAGATTTTAAAGAACTTTATGATCCTTTCAGAACAAACCTCCATTTTGGGTGCTTCCATGGCCTCATCTGGTCCCACCCATCCAAGGCAGGGCCTTCCCCCATCTGCCCCTCCTGCCAGGAAATCTTGGAGCAACCCTCTCTTACTGATGCCCTCACCTACATGTTTTTCATATTTGTATCCACCTATTCCAGAAACCATCAAAATGTGGCATGTATGCTCTGGGATATAAGTTTTTGAAAATCCTGAGTTGGGTGTGGTGGCTCACATTTGCAATCCCAGCACTCAGGTGGCTGAAGCAAGAGGATTACTGTAAATTTGGGGCCTGACCCAGGCTCTATAGGGAGTTCCAGGCCAGCCTGGGCTATAGTGTAAGGCTTTGATCTCAAAAAACCAAACTGGGGCTGGAGAGGTGGCTCAGCGGTTAAGAGCACAGGCTGCTCTTTTTTTTTTAAAAAAAAAAATTTTATTTATTATTTTTATTTTACGTGTATGCGTGTAGGTAAGTGCACCCGTGTTGTGCAATGCCCTAGGAAGACAGAAGAGGCTGTTGGATCCCCTGGGACTGGAGTTATGGATACTTGTTAGCTGCCATGTGGGTGCTGGGACTCGAACCTGGGTCTTCTGCAAGAACAGTCAGTGTTCTTAATTGCTGAGCCATCTCTTCAGCCCCAAGCATTGGCTGCTCTCGCAGAAGATCTGGATTTGGTTCCCAGCACCTACATGGTGGCTTTAACAACCACCCGTAACTCCAGTTTCAGGGGCAATCCAATGTCCTCTTCTGGCCTCCAGTACACTGCACACACAGATGTACTTATATACATGCAGGCAAAACATTCATACACATAAAAAACCACACCAAACCAAAAACTGAATTAATGTATAATTGATATACAGCTAGGCATGGGGTGTATTCCTGTAATCCAGCACTCTGGCAGGAAAATCAAGCGTTTGAAGCTAGGTTAGATGTGGTGCTGAACCTCTGTAATCCCAGTGTGTGGGAGGTGGAGGCCAGAGAATCAGGAGTTCAAAATCTGTCTTGGCTACATAACAAATTCCAGGCCAGTCTGGGCTATATAAGAAAGACCCTGTCTTAAAAGCACAAGTAACAGGGTGGAGAGATTGCTCAGTGGTTAAGGGCATTGGCTGCTCTTGCAGAAACCCAGCTTCAGTTCCCAGCACCCACATGGCAGCTAATAACTGTCCATAACTCCAGTTCCAGGGGATCTGATACCCTTTTCTGGCTTCCATGAGCATTGTACACATGTGGTGCACTTAGATTCATGCAGGCAAAATACTCATACACATACAATTAAATAAAAATAAACCATAAACAACAACAATGATGAAAATGTTTGAGGCCAACCTGGCTATACATAGCAAGTTCAAGACCAACCTGAGATAGTCAGGGTCTGTCTCAAAAAGCGAAGGGCTATGGGTATACCATATAATGGTAGAATGCTTACCTAAGAAGTCCCTTGGTTTAATCTCCAGTACCACACATACACACACCCAGTCTAACTAACATATAATAAAATATATCCATTTATGCTAGGCATGGTGGCACAAGCTTTTAATTCCAACAGTCAGGAGGTAGAAGCAGGCAGATCTCCATGAATTCGAAGCCAGCCTGGTCTACATAGCAACTTCCAGGCTAGGAAGATAGGGCTACAGGGAGACCCTATCTCAAAAAACAAAGAAACAGAACAAAACAAAACAAAAAGCTCATTTGGGGGGTTGGGGTAGAGTATTTGTTTAGTAAGCACAAGGCCCTGAATTTGGTCCCCAGCACTAAGGAAAAAAAAGATAAAATATGTCCATTTTGAGTGTATAATTCAGTAAGTTTGGGTGAGTATATGCTCTAACCCTACCACCCCAACTCCAGCTCCCCAGCAAGACAGGCCGTTTCTATCTTCTTCAGGAACTCATATTTTTGTGTTTATTATTGTGAGGGGAGTGAGCAGAGGTGTGTGCCTGTGCCCATGTTGGAGGTCAAGGGACAACTTGCAGGAGTTGGTTCTCTCCTTCCATTGGTCTTGGGGATTGAACTCAGGTAGTCAGGCATGGAAGCAAGTATCTTTACCACTAAGCCATCTTGCCAGTCTACCTTTTCACTTTTGAGGCCATGGATGCTCAGAGGAGTCGAATGACTCATGACAGAAAGCTGTGAATGACAAGAGCGAAGGGTCTTTGGATCGGGGACCTCGTGTGCCTTCTGGGAAGTGCATGTGTGCTTCAGGCCCAGGGCCTGGGTGTACCATGAAGGCTAGGGACAGGTTGACTGCCATCCTTCCTCTCCTCCAAGCCAAGACCTTTATCCTGGCTGAGGAGATACTGAGTGGTGGCGAGGGGGTCCAGCTAGCTCCAACTGTCCTTTCCCTAGGCAGAATAAGCCTTTAAAGGTAGCCTCTGGAGTTGAAGATGGGGAAACATAAAAGGAGTTTACCAGCATCATTTGCTTTTAGCTACTCAGAAAACAGGACACTGGGTGCCAGGAGACTTGGCCTCTGGCCTCGTTCTGCTCTGGCCTTCTATGAGACTTGGGCAAGTCACTTTCCCTGTCTGGGCCACCTCTGCACAAGGAAACCATAAGTCCTTGTTAGCTTGACTTCAGCTCTTCCTGATGAGTCTGCCACCTGAATGCATCCTGTTCTTCAGCAGTTGGGCCTTTGCCTGTACGGGGCCCCACTCCCTGGAATGTCCTTTCCTTAGTATCTGCTGTTACAATTCTTGTTTTACAACTTTCAGCTCTGGTCTTGCCCTGGGTGACTGTCCTTAAAACAGAATGTTCTGCTCCTCCCTCAAACTTCTGGAGGGCAGGGACTGTGTGATGAAGAACAGAAATGGCATTTCTGTGTGTTGAGAGGTGACTGACCATATGCCAGGCACTGTGCTAGATACATGAAGACCCCCCCCCCCACCGCACCTTACTATAAAGCTCTGGCTAGCCTGAAGCTCTATGTAGACCAGGCTGGCCTTGAATTCCCAAATATCTGCCTGCTTCTGCCTCCCTAGTACTGGGGTTAAAGGTGGGCGCCACCACGCCTGGCCTGACTTCCTCTTTTTAACCTCAACATCTGTGTGTGTGTGTGTGTGTGTGTGTGTGTGTGTGTGTGTTACCAGAGGAACTCAGGGTCTCCTTGCTCATGTTAGCTAAGTGTTCTGCCACTGAACTAAATCCCTAAGACATTGGTAGATCAGGCTGGCCTTGAACTTGCTATGCATCTTGCTTAGGCTGTCCTCAAACTCTTGATCCTCCTCTCTGTTTCCCCAGTGCTGAGATTACAGGCAGTACCACCACATTAGGCCTCACCTTCCAGAGGGTTTGGCAAATGAATGTTTACCATCTCATCACTGAATGACTGATGAGTGACTAAAAGCATGACTGAGGGCCTGCATCACCTCAGTCCTTTCCCAACTTACCTCCTGTGGTGGTGATGGGCTTGAGACACAGGTGCTCTGTAATGCTAACTGTTACAATCCTCATTTGCTGTCATCTGTCACAGTTACAGTAGGGGCAGGTTAATAACGGGGTGGAATGCAAGGAAGGTACCAGTGCTCAGCCAAGCGGTGCAAACAAGCAACATCAGCCCAACCCTGGTGGCATGCTGGATGTATCTGAGCCAAGACAGCCAGAACAGACCTCTGCACCCCAATTCAAGATTAGGGAACCCTAATTGTTAGTTTGCCTCCTCTATGGGGAGATCCAGAAACTGAAACGCTTTCTCCTGGTACTAGTGACCCACCTACACGCCCAGCCCTGCAGTCCAAGTACCCAAAGTCCGAGGTCCCGGTTTTTTATTCCAGATAGTCTTTTGTAAAAGGCTTTTGTTCTGTCCTCACAAACCACCTCCTTTGTGAAATGTCCACAAGCTGGGCCTAAGAAATGTCCACCTTGCGCTGGGGACCAGTTATCTTAGGGCTCAGGCCTTGCTCCCCCCCACACCTCCTCCGCCGTCCCCCCTGCACCTCGTTCATCTCACCTCCCCCTCCACCTCTAGCTATTGTGCAAGATGGGCCGGCACACCTTCTAGGGCAGGTCCAATCAAGGCCAGGGGGACTTCCAGAGCGTGGGCAGCTGCGGGTGGGACTGGGGGCAGGGGGCAAGGAGGCAGGAGCTGGGGGGCAGGAAGAGGAGGAATGCTGAATTCCTGCACGTAGGTCTAGGCGGCCGCTGGCAGTTCGGTGCAAGGAGGGGAGGGGAGACCCGCAGGCTGCAGCTCCCGGGGCGCCCAGTTTTCTCCTATGCCTAAATCAGCCCCTTGGGTCTGAGTCAGGAGCGCAGCCGGCGCGTCCCTCCCAGGTCTCTCTTACGGGGGACCTTCTCTTTGTGTGGGTCTCTCCGTGATCGGGAATGGCCCTAGCCCGCTGGCCCCGCCCTCCAGGGGCGGAGGAAGAGGCGTGTCCCGGGCCAGGGGGCGGGGCCTAGCGGGGCGGGGCGGGGCGGGAAGGGCAGCCGGACCTGGGCGCGGGCGCGGGAGGCAGCCGGCGCGTCCCTCCCAGGTCTCTCTTACGGGGGACCTTCTCTTTGTGTGGGTCTCTCCGTGATCGGGAATGGCCCTAGCCCGCTGGCCCCGCCCTCCAGGGGCGGAGGAAGAGGCGTGTCCCGGGCCAGGGGGCGGGGCCTAGCGGGGCGGGGCGGGGCGGGAAGGGCAGCCGGACCTGGGCGCGGGCGCGGGAGGCTGCGTCTGCCGGCTGGGAGGGACGCGGCGGGGAGAGAGGCCCGGGCGAGC